ATACACAGTGTGACGAAGTGCCCTTCGCCACTTGGTCCTGGAGAGGCCTGCTTGCCAGCCTCCTGCCCTGCGACTATGGACCGGGGGTGTGTGGCCCTTTAAGAACATTACTGGGGCTTATGGACTTTCATTGGACTGGTGCTGGCCCTTTAAGCACATTTTTGGGACACGGGTAAAATTGGGACAATGTCCCTTTAAGATGGTGGGACACTGCCCCTTTAAGCCTGTGTCCCCAGACTTGGTTAACATAATTTATTCATGGCTTCTTTACACTTGGTTCAGTAAATGGGGCTTACTGAACCAAGCACCACCCAGAAGTGGAAGCATGCAGCTAATTTATTATTATGATGTGTTAAGACACCTCCAGGGTCTTTAGGCAAAACCGCCGTTTACTAGACCTTCCCCGTTTGCAATATCAGTAACTCCGTTCGGCTAACCTGTAGTGCACGAACCTAATGCAGGGGAAGCGGCAATCTCCCGACCGGGATCCGTGAACGGCTCCAAACTCCCGAACGGCAATACACGAACTGCTGCTAGCCGCCGAACAATAACATCCACCAAGCGGCTTTCGTTTCCATCCAGCAGTCTCTAAACGTGAAGAAGAAATCCCCCCAATAACGAGACAGAAGCTCCGCATTGAGGGTCAAACAGGATCTGGCTTTACTGTGGGCTACCTGCCCGTATTTATGCAGGTCTCCCACTTGGTGGACACTCCCCTAGGGGACCAAATGGGAGACTTAAATGACAGACAGATATGGGGACATTCCAGACACATAGACACAGTTTTTACCCACAATGCACTAGGATTCCCTCCCCTCTGTCCTGGAGATAAATTACCAAGTAACTCAATTATCTCCAGGACAAAGCCAGTCGCCATTTTAAACATAAAACCCAAAAAGACATAAAAATACATAATGTCAGAATAACCGAACACTCTGCATTCGTGTCACATATCCCCAGATAGCCTGGATCTGAGTGCATATTATTAGCGAATAGCGCTCAGATCCCATACACATAGTTCAATCGCCATGGAGTCAAAGTTCTTACAGTCTTTCGGTATACGAATGACTCCATGGGAAGGCTATCTGGGTTAAGTCCATTCGTATGCTTCCCAAACTCCCGAATGGCCGGTATTTGTATGCTTTCGTGGAGGCAGCCAGGCGTTCCATTGTTTCAGCGGTGTTCGGCAGAAAAAGTGTCCGTTTTTAGTTCCATGAAAATAGAGCCTTACACCGCTGGGCTTTCGCGTGGTTTTAAGATGGCCGCTGCCTCGTGGTCGACATACGAACGACGACCACCCTGAATTCGTGTAATTGAGAAGTGTCTGCGGTTAAGCACAACGTTCTAATTGGGATCAATAGGTTAATCAGCAGCACACTTCTCTCCTGGGTGGCCGTCCGTTCGGCTGGTTTGTTCGGGAAAAAAACAGTAATTCGAATGGCTGGGCTATAGAAAACAGCCATTCATACGAACAGGGTAGAAACAGATGAATACACCTAAAATAAGCAGACAGATGGTTCTCTCACATGATATTTATAGAGCGCCGTCAAATTTCGCAGCGCTTTACAATGGGTGGACGAACAGACATGTAGTTGTAACCAGACAAGTTGGACACACAGGAACAGAGGGGTTGAGGGCCCTGCTCAATGAGCTTACATGCTAGAGGGAGTGGGGTAAAATGACACAAAAAGGTAAGGATAGTATTAGAATAGTGACAGTTGCAGAAGAGGAATCAGTCAGGAGCTATTAACAGTTTAATTGATACGCTTTTATGAAGAAGTGGGTTTTTAATGATTTTTTGAAGGAGTGGAGACTGGGTGAGCATCTAACGGAGGAGGGAAGCGAGTTCCACAGGAACGGTGCAGCCCTCGAGAAATCTTGAAGGCAAGCATCAGAGGTGGGAGTACGGACAGAAGATAGACGTAAGTCTTCAGCAGATCGTAAGGGCCTAGACGGGACATACTTGTGTATAAGGGAGGATAGATAGGTGGGAGCAGCATTATGTAGAGATTTGAAGGCAAGGACCAGAATTTTAAATTGAGCTCTATATTTTATAGGAAGCCAATGTAGGGACTGACAGAAGGGTGAGGCATGGGAGGTGCGTGCAGACAGGAAGATGAGCCTCGCCGCCGCATTCATTATGGACTGTAACGGCGTAAGTTGGGAGCACGTAAGACCACTGAGAAGCGGATTACAGTAGTCAAGGCGAGAAAGGACAGTGGAATGGACCAACACCTTAGTCGCATCTGGCGTTAAGTAGGGGTGGATGCGCGCAATGTTTTTGAGATGGAAATGACAGGATTTGGCGATAGATTGAACATGAGGCTTGAAGGAGAGGTCGGAGTCAAAGAGAACACCTAGGCAGCGAGCCTGCGTGGTGGAGCCGATGGTAGCACCGACTTGGAGGGAGACAGACACAGGAGTTAAAACAAACACTTGAGGAAGGAAAGACCAGAATTTCAGTTTTGGTCAAGTTTAGTTTAAGGAAGTGGGCAGCCATCCAGTTAGAAACAGCAGAGACACTAGTCAAGAGGGATGGGGAGAGATGTAGGTAAATTGCTGACCGCTGGGTGGCCACAGTTCGTGCAAACAAACACGTGGCGGCGACAATCTTTTTTCATTTGAAGGAGGTCAGTAGTATGTGTAGCCAAATCCATGGAACTGAAATTGGCTACACATTTCAACGAACACTGCTGACCCTTAATGATAATTACATTAACCCATTGTGTTCAGTAATTATATCACAGGCAGAGGGGAGGGTTTGTGTGTAATTGCTGAGAGTGTTTCATTGTATTGTATGTATTTTACAAAACCCTGTGGGTGGTACTATGTTTGTAAAATGGGCATAAAAGCAGAGTGTTGGATTAAAAGTTCACTTCTTTTTGACCCTCAACACGTAGTCTTGTCCTGTGATTGGAGGGGACAGCTATACTCACACTGGGGATTGCTATGCTCTGCATACTCCCTTGAGCTTTAATCACTTAGATCTTTTAAGAGCTTGTTCCTGATACGCTCTACTGGAGGAGAGGTCTTTCCCACATGGTCCATGAGGACAGAAGCTGATCCAGGGTGGACAGAAGACAGTTAAGCTACAGCGGTTGTGGAGTCTGCGGTGGTTTTGGTGTCCGGTCCGGTGCTTGTGATCCTCGGCGCAGGCTAGGAAGGGTCCATCAACGGAAGGTACTCACACAGATACACACATTGAAACGTACACTGGCACATACACTCAGATACACACACTGAAACACACAGATACACATATTGACATGCACACAAGTTATACTTTATAGATTTGCAGCCACCTTCCTGTTAGCTTATCTTTGTGTCCAGGAGGGTGGCTTGCTAAGAGTTCTGTTGCCGGCTGAGGCAGATGGCAGTGAGCATGCAGCAGCTCATTCCAGCTGTCATGCCAAAAGCATGAGTTGGTGTTTGATGTATTGAGATATGTTAAGAGTTGTTTTTGTAAACCTTGGGATGACATTTATTGTGGTCTTTGATCTGGCACCAGGCCTAGACCATAAAACAGCTAGATAGCCACCACCAGAGCAGGACACAAGGAATTGCATAGAGCGGGCAATAAACTTGGCCAGACCAACCCCCTGACTCTTGGCAGGGTCTGCCCACTGAGCAACAACTAGTTTAGATATATCAACGAGGGTGCTGGACTATGTGTGACGAGACCAATCTCGCCACATTGCATTGGAGGAGCCTGGTTGCCCACCTGCTGCCTTTGGATTATGGACCGGCAGCTAAAGGGTTAATTTTACTGTGCAGAAGGGTTTATTTTTCCCTTTCTGCACAGCCGTTCGGTAGATTCTACAAACAGACTTCTATCAGCCTCCCCAGAGCCGTGGGAAGCCGGCTGGCGCCGTTAATTGGCCACCCAGAAGCTGGAGTGCGCCCTCCATTTACCTCCCTGAAGCCGCGGTTAACGAGCGTGTGCCGGCAATTGACCACCCAGTATCTGCGGTTAACCGCAGCTTAATTGATTGTTACTGGGTGGTCGCGGTTACACTTAGCCGCCACACGATGGCGGTGTTCTGGAGCTCCCCGGGCAGCCTGCCCGGCTTTCCTGCACCAAACCCAGACACTGTTACGTGCAGGCACCGCTGAACCTCCAACCCCTGGTTCTAGTTCGTACGGATTTAACGAATGCATGTAAATTCGGTATTTTATGGTGGAGGAATGTTTTAACCCAGATAGCTATGCCATGGAGCCTGTTCAAGGAATTAAAGACTTTGGTTCCATGGCAATTAAACTGTATTCGTGTGGTCTAAGTGCCATTCACCTAATAATGTGCACTCAGACCTGAGCTATCTGGGGATATGTTACATGTATATATTTACTGTACCATTTGTCCCATTATGTATTTTAAAGTGATAGTCTGTCTTTGTGTCCCCACATGTGTAATGGAGTTTTGCCTTTGTCCTGGGAGATAATTGAATTACTCCTCCAGGGCAGAGGGGAGGAAGCCAGGATGCATTGTGGGGGATGTTTTACTTCTGTATGTCTGTAATTGGTACATGTCTGTCTTTTGTTACAGTCTTCCATCTGGTCCCCTAGGGGAGTGTCCAACAGGTGGGAGACCTGCATAAATACTGGGCAGGTAGCCCCCATTAAACAGACCACTGCTTGACCCACAACACGGAGCTCTGTCTCGTCTTTGGGGGGGGGGGGGATTTACTGTATGCTGATAGAGACTGATTGCCAGGAGTGTAAGCCGCTTGGGTGCTTTTCTTGTTC